AAATGAGAGCGGGGTGGTAGAAAGAACTTACGAAGCGAACCGTGGGTTGTCGTGGTTCTCGACGAATGTGCCCAGGAGCGTTGAGTCTGGACAGTCAGATTTGACGGTGTTGATCATGTTGTAGAGGTCGTTCATGCTGCCAGAGGTTGATTTGAAAGCGTTGAGGAGTGGGTAGTAACTGGTTTTAACCGTCTCGTTAGTGGATGAAACGACAAGAAGGCTTATAGTTAAGGGAGTCCATACATCGGGTAGTTCAGTACGCCGTCCATGACATCCTGGTAGGGACATGTGTATGCCGGATCACCGTCGAGGACTTCGCCGATGCAGTACACGCCTGCAGCTTTGTTGTACCCCGGCCAGAAGTCCTTCTGGACGTGTTTCACTGTGTCGACACGGAGACCATCGACTGATTTCGTAAGTGTCATCGATCATTTTAAGTTAGAGAATGAGGATAAAAGATCTTACTGGAGTAGTTTGATACTAATGTTCCCACCCAGTCGTACCATTCATTCTTCACTTCATCTTTAGTGGTATCGAGATCGGGCAAGGAGACAGTATTATCTCCTAACCAGCAATCCTCAACCTGGGTCTGGTCCTCATAGTTTTGAATGAGACAGAATGAGTGGAAGTATTCTTGGGAATTGAACGGCTTGAACACGCTGTAATCAACTGAGGCTCCCGCTCCATCATAGCCCTGATTTTACTCATGGTCAATATTGAAATAAACCATGTGTGCAAAGTCAATCAAAGAGGACCACGAACCATATGGTTAGCAACCACATCGACCATCAGATACATGCCCCTCTTATGAAGGGCCGAAGAGAGAGCCTTCAAGTCATCTGCTGTGCCGTAATTTTCGTTCAGGGAGTATCTAAGTCCTTCAAGTTAGTTCATATTTATGCGGAAGATTGCTGGTAGGTGACTTACATATCCTGCTGCCAGTAACCATGGTAGGCGTCCCCGTATGCGGTGTTCTGGGGCAGCTGGCCGGTAACGGGGGTGATCCAGATGGCTGTGAAGCCCATTCCTTGGATATAATCCAGCTAAGTCATGGTTAGGACCAGAATATTCTTTTTTTTTTTTTTTCTTCTTCCTCTTTTGAATAAGTGGGCGATTTACCTTGTCGATGATGCCCTGCCATGTTCCACCACAGTATTTCTATACTGAGTCAGTTTACATTCCTCTTGCTGAAAAGTAGTAGGTGAAACCAGACCCGATCCTCAGTGTTACAAGCCGCAGTCGTCGACCCATCCGTCCTTGCAAATCGATCTGTGAGAAGGAAATAAATGGATTGCGATCGCCAGTCGGCAGGTGTTGCAGCCAAAGCAGGGGCCGCGACCTGAAGACCGTAAAGAAATAAGGACCACCAGGCGACCATCCTGAATGCCTTCTGTGGATTTTTATTATTCAGAGAAGAGGGAGCTTCCAGTTGATATGTTGTAAGTTCAAGTTGTCTGTTGCTATCCTCCAAACATTGCATCCCTTGCTAGTATTTATATGTTGTGATGCATCACATAGAGCAAGTGACATACTTTAAGCTATACGGCCAGGGGCGGGGAATCCAAGCGATTCGTAGAACCGTTTAATTTGCATTCTGCAGGACAATACCGGGGGGCGACTGTGATTTGTGGTTGAGTTGAAATTAATTCCTTTAAATTTCCGCCCCTAGTCACTCTGGAGGGAGTTGGTTGGGTCGCGGCCGTTGATCAGCGTTGCAGAAAAGTCCGACGGGCCGACGTTTTTCTTGGGGTTTCACACTTTCCTGCTTCTACTTGGTTGGTGCGTCCGATGCTCGTGGATGTGGATGTTATGCTGGGGTTTAACTCGTGATGGGCTCGGGCGTAGAAGCAGTTGACACCGGGATTTTACTCCTTTGGTCTTGCATATCTGCTGCACGATATTTACGCAAAGTCTTCAGCCCTATGCTGCTGATGTCCGATTCGCTGCAGTTTTTGCATTCATTAATTCATATTGTGGAAATGTATATAGGGACGATGTGGATCTAGGCTATCCTATTACGCTTTCTTCACCATTCCAGTACCCAATCCTTCGCCCATGCACCATCCGCTGTTTGCTTCTGCAAGCCACCGACATGAAGAACCTGTGATGTGGCGTTATACTTGACAGAGTCGGACGAGAGCTTCTGGCCATTGAGTGTCACTGAGGATGGCTTCTCAGTCACACCAAGTACAGTCACATTCGCTAGTGGGTTTGTCTCCTTCCAAGTACCCCGAGCAGAAGCTCGGAGAGTGGATTTGGACGCCAGGAACTCAACAGAAAGCGTGTCCTCTGGGGAGACACTTTCTCCATCATCGAGGTAGAGCTGGCCAGAGGCAGTCCCATTACTACTCAGCGAGGCAAGCAAAGACCAGGGGGTCTTGCGAGCGTCGCGGGTGGTCAGTGCAACCTCCTGCATTGGCAGAATGCTACCACCACGAATGAAGACTGGAATATGACCCAGTGGTGCTGAGATCGTTGTGTTGACACCGGGCTTTGCATCAACGGCTATTTGAGAGTACCAATCGTACCAGACTTCCCCATGTCCAACGCCTGGGAAGACACCCTTGACAGTATCTACCTGTGGCTCAAGAACAGGAATCACCATGACCGAGGGACCAACAAGGAATTGGGTGCCGACAGCAGCTAAGGAAGGGTCGTTCGGGAATTCCCACGCCAGTGCGCGCATGACCGTAGATCCAGTGGTGTGGGCCAAATGGAACAGGGTGTAAAAGTACGGCAAAATGGCGTAGCGAATGTTCATCGCCGCCTTAGTGGCATCGATCACGGACGCCCACTGATAAGGCTCTTGGGGAATTGCAGAGAGAACGTTATGGTTGCGATAAAACGGAAAGAAAGCCGAGAGCTGCATCCATCGGTTGCATAGCTCCTCATCAGTGTTTCCATTGAAACCACAGGTGTCAACACCAAACATAGGGATGCCAAAGAGCGAGAACTGAAGGGCCTGCGAGATTGAAAAGAACATTGATCCCCATTTAGAGAAGTTATCACCACCCCAGTGACCAGCCCATTTCCCGGAGCCGGCAAATGTGGAGCGTGCGATGATAAAGGGGCGTTTGTTCTCCCACACCTTGAGCAATCCGTGATAGGTTGCATTTATGCCTTGGTGGCCGTAAAGACTGTGTACATCGTACTCCTGAACTCCATCCGAGTGAGTGGAATTTGGTGAGATGGCGTGAACGCTCAGGTCGTGGCCAGTTTGGACATGGTTGATAACATAGGGAGGATGGTCAACATTACGAACTCCAGGGGTGGGTGTCGTACGCAGGTAGGGGGCTGATGTAGTTGTGGTTGCCGCCGCTGCAGATTGGCTTGCAGCCCCAGCGGATGCTGAGGCTGCTTCCGTAGCATTGGTGATGTTAAAGCCCTCTGGATAATCGTAGACGACGTTCCCTGGTTCGCCGGGCAGAGCGAACGGTGGGTGAGCCGGGTTCATTGACAGGTTGCCGGTTCCACAGCTCCCTACGCAGAAGGAAGAAACTTCAGCCATGTCGTACCAGACCCCATCATACTGCAGCTTGTTCCACCAGGTGACCAGCTCATTGGCCCAGAAGTCAGAGGCCTTGGGGTGATGCCAATCGGGGTAGACAGTATAGCCAGGCCAGACGGCGCCAATATAGAGACTGCCGTCAGGGTTCTTGATGAAAACATCATCCTTGGCACCTCTGTCGTAAGTTTCGTACCTAGAATCACGGTGAGTCTTCGGTCACGGCTAAGAGTGTGTGTAGAAGATGGTCACTCACGCATCAGAAGCGTTCTCGGGATTGGGAATATAAAGAGCTCCGTCGACAATTGGGACCCAGCGACGTCCACCATCGTGAAGCTTGTTGAGAAACTTTTCACCCTCTTCATACGAAAATCGATATTGGTCATTGTCAAAGTTGCGATATCCATGCATGTAATCTATATCAGCCCTGCATCTAGGCGTTAGAAGGGAGCCAAATGAGCGAGGAACATGTTTCTTACCAGAGGTACTCCAAAGGAATCTCGAATCTCTCGAAATTGGCAAGAACGTCTTCAAACTCGGACCAGTTATTATAGCCCCAGCGGCACTGGTGAAATCCGAGCGTGTTATATTGCTGCATGGCAGGCAGTCCCACGGTGCTGAGCTGATATTGCTTGGTGACCTCTGCTTGAGTTGGGCCGGAGTAAAAGGTCAGATCAACGCTTCCTCCCAGAGTGCGCCAGATCAGCTTTTGATCCCGCAGGAGAATTTCCTGTCCATGGGCATTTCTGAGGAACACTCCGTGAGAATATGAGACATATTCTTGAGATGGTTCCGCTTCGCTGCTCTTGACTATGGTATGGGTCTTATTCTGACCATCCACCTTGTAGTATCTGGTATCCAAGTAGAATGCATGATGTCCATAGATGTTACTAGAGGTATTCGCATTAGCCTGAAATGTAATGGGCCGCACCAATTGCCAGATACGTACTCGTCAATGGGATCTGCGATATCTGCGGCATAGAGCGTCAAATTGGCGTTCTCCAGTAGTCGCAGCTGGTTCATCCGCTCTCCCAAGCCATATAGGTTGTATTCTTCGGGCAACGACGAGACAAATTCTATGAATTGATTCTCATAGACTAGGGTAGAGCCCTTTGTGTTGAATAACACGTCACCGGTAGCTTTCCGGGTCACCTTGAAGTTGAAAGAAGGCTCGTTGGACCAGGAGACAACGAGATCGCTTTGGGGAACCGATGCATTTTGGGAAGCCTTTGGTCTAGGCACTAGCTCTTCCGGAAGAATGTACCAGGAGGCATTGGAGGCGTCAACATACGTTGGCACAATCTGAATGTTCAAGCGATCCTTTGCCTGATATTCCACGGTCAGGGTCAACGAATCGACATCTGTTCCATACACATTACAAGGGTCTCCAGCCAATTCCAGGCTAGCGGTAAAGCCCTGGGAGGTATGTTTCACATCTGAGGCCTTGTAACCCGGACAGACAGATTGTGCGTTGACCGCTTGGGGGTCATCAATATTGGCGATCAAATTCGCGCCCACGTCGGCAGAGGCGGGAATGGTGAATTGCGAGTATGCCGCTGTCGCAGACGTGCTAGGACCGAGAGATTGACTCGCCCCATAAGCCACTGGAAGCAGCCAAGAACTGGCAAGGAAGCTTTTTAGACCGGCCATGGCGTGGTCCACCAAGCTGATGCCGGACAACGGTGTTGCGGTTTTTCTTTTAGGAAACGGACACCTCTGCCGTCTCCGAACCGGAAATGTAACTAGATATATATGTCTTTACGAACCAGGTCTCCACGGGAGATCCCTCAAATTCATGACCCGTCCCGTTCTCAACGATTTGTGTTACCTGCCGTGAAAGCAAGCCATTGCCCCGTCAAACGTCCGAGGGGCAATGCCTGCAAGCTCTCGACCATGCGGGGGGAGAAGTCACATTGATTGGAAGAGTACAGGTCCTACACACCAAGTGGAGACAGCATGGTCAAGCCTTTTGGGACGTGACGAAAGAGTAACGGCGAAGCCGACGATGGGAGATGAATCTTTGCCGAGCACAGGACGAGACCGGAAAAGAGTGTCTTGACTCTTGGGAGTAGTTTACAAAATTCCCGTGTCCGGAAATTGGAAACGTTCATGGCCAATGCCCGCGATCATCTGATTGCGCGGCGGTGATTGGTCCATCCCCCGATAAATGCCCGACAACGACGCTTGAGCCCTGGGAAAGGTAGTATTTCGACCAGAGTCAATACTCTCAAATACATCATTCCCCACCACGCATTCCCAGGTGCCTAAACCCCTCCGGTGTGCCGGTGAGGTTTTTCCACACCATTTCTAGTGGTGCCATGACGGGAGCATCCGATGGCTTCCAGTTATCGGCTGATTGGGATGGGCAACAAGCTCCAAATACGGGGAATTGTCTTTGGGCCAGGAATGAAGTCCCCGTGGGGACCCAGGGCCCAGACTAAGAATGGATTGTCGTCATAGGCATTTATTCGGCTCGTGGAAACTTCGGCGATGTTACGATCTCTTGAATGGCATTCATTCTCTGTCTTTGACCTCGGCTTCCCGAGAGCGGTGCCTCCTCCCCTTACATCCCCCACATGTTGTACTAGTATACAGCCTTTGGTACGATATTCTTTCGGAAATAGCAGTCTTTTATCCAGGAATAACCATGACGTGAAACTTGTTTTCCTTCTTGATTTTGATTCCCTGACTAGATTATGCTCGAATATTAATCCTGTGTGGCACGGCCGGTCCCCTCAGGTTGCTAAGGCTGATTTAATGCACCGACTCTCCGCACACTATGGCCCAGGGTGGTTATACATTCCCTGCATCTACCACACTTCCTCACAACATGATTTCCACCATTCTTAAGCGGCCGTTAGCCTAGATAGGGTATAACGTGGTTAAATATAACTAATAATCACGGCTCTACAACGAATCCCGATGGGACCAGGTAACGAGTTGTTACCGATGGGTCCTCCCATTTGTTAGGAAAGACGCTAGGGAACCTTTAGGGCACGGACTAAATCAAGACTAAGATGGAGTAGACTCACGCCAGGGAGATTAATCCCTTTCATCTTGCAAAAGTAACGCGGGGGCTTTTTTTTTTATTGTTCCCCGGATTTCTTCTCTTTTCCTTCAATCCTAACGCCCCAAAACCGTGATGGCGACACAGCCCGGTTCAACTATCCCCATCTTTTCCGTCGGTCATTCTCCTAGTAGCTCTTGCGGTATGCAATGAATTCTAAAGGCTCCACATCGGCGAGACAGTATCCGAGCATATCTCAAATCCCCAACCGAACATCTCTCCCTCATCTCCGAAAAGGAATATGGAGTCACAACCGTCCGCAACCCCAGAAAAGCCGCCTAAACAGGCCTGCGATAATTGCCGTCGACGAAAAATCAAGTGTTCGAGGGAGCTTCCTTGCGACAAGTGCCAACGTCTTTTACTCTCTTGCTCCTACAGCGACGTGCTCCGTCGCAAGGGCCCCAAGTTCCGCACTCTCTACCCTCTCGCTCCCATCCACCCACTGGCATCACGACCGCGTCCCCTCACCAAGGAATGGCTGCCCCCAGACCGAGGGGCGTGCCATTTGGCGTCTCCGACGTCTCCGCCGTTCACCGTAGCGGACGCCCAGTATCCACATCCTGACTTCTCGGAGTCGTTCACTCGACTCCCACCCCCAGATCTCGTCTCGTCTCCCGATTCAACCAACTCGTTATTCGACTCATCTACTATCGGCGCCCTCCCCGCGCCACGTCGTCTGTCGGCACCAATCCTTCTAGCCCATGTCAATGTCTTCTTCAAGTACCTGTTCCCGATCATGCCCATCGTGAGACAGGACCAACTGCAGCAGGACTGCCACCAGCCGGAGCGCTTGTCTCCCCAACGATATGCTTTCATTGCCGCTCTATGCGCGGCCACGCACATCCAACTAAAGCTGGACGGTGCAACGCCGGGCCCCGACTCGGCTTCCGCGCAAGCCAGCCTCGATGGACACCCCATGTTGTCCGGAGAAGAACTCCTGGCCGAAGCCTTGCGGGCCAGAAAGGAATACAACGTGGTCGACGAAATCAACATGGAAAACCTCCTAACCTCCTTCTTCCTCTTCGCCGCCTACGGAAATCTAGACAGACAGGACCAGGCCTGGTTCTACCTGTGCCAAACCACGTCCATGGTCTTCACACTAGGCCTGCAACGTGAATCCACATACTCGAAACTAAGCGTGGAAGAAGCAGAAGAGAAAAGAAGAGTGTTCTGGCTCTTATTCGTCACAGAAAGGTAAATTAAACCTTTACTTTTCCAACCACATTAAACTTTTCTAACGCAAAAAAAAAAAAATCAAAATCAGAGGCTACGCGTTACAACAAGCAAAACCAGTCATGCTCCGCAACTCCATCCACAAACCACAGGTCCTCTGTTCAGACGACCCAATCCTAGCCTACGGCTTCATCAACCTCATCAACGTATTCGAAAAGCTCAGTCCAAATCTCTACGACTGGGTCTCCGCCGGCGGCAGCAGCAGCGCAGACGGCGACCCCCCGCCTACGTCGTCCATCCAATCCAGCCTTGCTAAGCAAATCTCCCTCGAAGGCGTCTCCGAAATCCAAAAAGTAGACATCCTCATCACCCAGCAATGGCTACAAACCATGATGTGGAAACTCTCCATGACCCACGCAACCCAGCCCGTCTCCCGCGATGACGCCGTTCTCCCCTTCCACTTGCCCGTGCTAGTCGGCAAGGCCGTCATGAGCGTCATCGCCGCGGCATCCCAAGGCGCCGTTGACGCCCACGGCATCGGAATGGTAAGTCGCACTCACTCCACCCCCATAACACCTCTATCCATCCCTCACCCACCCACCAAACCCCCGAAACTTAACTCCCCCCACCAGGAACAAAAACTCTACGACCTAGGCACCTCAGTAGCAGACGTGTCCCGCTCCCTAAGCACAAAAGCCGCACACCACCTGGCCGAATCCACCATCGACCCCCGCGAACTCCTCTGGGGCATTCTCACAACCCTATCCCGCATCCGCGGATCCCAATCGTACCTCTTCCCCGCTCTCGTGGAACAAAGTCGCGGAATCCTCAGTTTCGATTGTTCGCTTTCCATCAGCGACTTTCTGCCTTCGTTTGGTGGTCCGCCGTCTGCGGGGTCGATCTCGTGGCGGGCGGATGAATCTAGGTTTGGCTTAATAGCGGTTTCGGATAATTTGCAGGAACGGGGGGAGAATGAGGCGGGGGAGAGGATTGTGGCGCCGGCTGGGTCGGAGATCTCCTTTTGAGGGGTTCTCTTTCCTTTTCCTTTCCAGTTGCGTTTTGTGTTTGTGTGGTTGGGGTTGGGATGGGGTGGGGTGAGGTAAGAGATTTGTATATACGCTTGCAAGCGTGCATTTGGGATTGGGGTTCCTCCTCTCGTATATAATATGGATCGTTTTGTATATAGGCCGATGGAAATGGTGCAATTGGGGCGTGGACATCTTAGGAGCTTTGGGGTTGCTTCTTGAGTTATGATGAGCATGAGATTATATAGAATCAGTTAATGATCATTATTGTACATACCTTGATGAAGATACATTTGCCATCCAGATATGAAAAATAGAGAACTGGTCTTCATTCTATATAGTAACCCAGAGAGAATTGGTTCCAAAATCTAGATCCTCGCATCTCCGATATATACTCCAGCAATGGTTGGGCTATGAACGAGATAACAGCAAACAAGGGAGGTCCGAACCATGCATCAGTCGTATTGCACAAATTGATATCATCAGAAATAAATAACGAAACTCATAATCTATCCGCCGTGAGGATTAAACCATATATACGCTTCCGCCGAAGGGCATTCTTTTATCTATAAACAGAAAGGGGAGGGGGGTATGTGGGTAAATGTGGTGGCCAGAGAGTTGTAAGGCATACCCTAGCCAACGATGAATGGTAGAAAAGAGGCATAAAAAAAAAAAGGGCCGATTGAATGTAGTAAGTTAGAAACACCCCAGACGCCAAACTGAGAACTCAAATATGTAGTCCTCTATTGAGCTCGCCAAATCAATTCTAAAATCTGGTCACCCTTCTCAGCATCGCGATGGACGTACCATTGCCGTACTTTGTTGCCGTCGAGAATAGAGTCTTCCAGCACGTAGCTGAATTTATCCCAGTCCTTTCCACGCAAAGGACCGAACTCGTGCAGGAACGATTCGTGTACTGCGCCGTTCTGGCCTTCCCATGTAAGTTCCATGGTCTTGTCATTCGGATCGAGCTCCTGGCTATACTTCATGACCGAGAAGCCATTCGTCAAGATCCAGCCGTCGGCGAACTTCCATTGCCGCAAGAGACAACTATCGCCACAGAGCTCGCTGACGACACTGAGCTTGGCCATGTCCATATGGAACCACGACTTCCAATGATGTACAGAAAGAGGTGGTTGCCGTCCCGACTCGAAAAATCCTGATACGTCGCCTTGGACGTCAAGTTGGTGCAGGCGGTGGTTGATGGTCAGGTGTGTATAGGTGTGCTGGTAAATGCACAAAGATATCCTCCGGTCGCCGGTGTGGTCCGTATTCAGACAGGCTTCAAAGACCTCGGGCTTGCTGATTTCCTCCACGAGGGGTCGAGATAAGAAGACGCCTGCGCCTCCAAATCCCATCAAACCGAACACACCGATCTGCGGGATAGACTCCGAAAGACCGCCGACATATGTGGGCTGAGTATCGTCATATTCCCCAAGAGCCTTCACGAGTTCAGACATGGACAAGAAAAAGGTATCATCATCGATGACGCAGGACCATCGCGTCTGCGGCCGCATGTGCTTCCCCAAATGTGAGACCAAAGTGAAGTACCGGCGTTGATACTCCTCGTCGTTTTCCGTAATATACAAATTGATTCCGAGAGAGTCAGCCTTAGCCTGGACCTCATGTGTTCGCTTATCCTTATCAGGCTCAATGAGAGCGAAGATGCGAGTTTTAGTGTAGCTAGCCCAGTGAGAGAACGCATCCAAGGACTCATTCAACCGTCCCAGCGTTGTCGCAACACCGAAGTCGATGTGTGATGCGTCCACATTTCTTGGAGGCTGGAGAACCTGGACAGTCACAGGCTCTGGGATCATGCAATCGTCCTGCGACTGCTGGATCGAGAGGCGATCGACGTCATTCGACGATTTCCGCTCGAACAAGGGCGTCTGGAGATTTTGCCTGACGGGCAGGGCATCGTTGGAAGAAGGAACGGCGATCACCTCCCGGCGCGTATATTCTGACAATTTATGGACATCGAGACGGCGAAGAGCGTCGAAGTCCGGCTCGCATTGCACACTGGACGTGATTGTGATATTCGAGATGGTATCGGCAGTAATCTCCTGGGGTTCAATCTGAGGCCAGAGGAAATACGCAAAAGCGCTCACCAAGCAGAGAATGACTGTAAAACGAAATATCTTTTTCTTCCATACCCGCGAGGCACCCATCGCAGGGGGCTTCTCCCCAACTTTCGCCAACATTATGGATTCTTAATGTGAATAGCTGAACGGGTAAAAATATTAAAAATAGATTAGGTACCGCACTAGAAAAGCATAAGCATCTCGACCATCCAACACGGCACCTAAGGTGGGATGAAGGAGACGAGCGGTAACGAGTGGAGGATGAGGGGAAGGAGAGATAGAGAGAGAGAGAGAGAGAGAGAGAGAGAGAGAGAGAGAGAGAGAGAGAGAGAGAGAGAGAGAGAGAGAGATAGTATACAAGACGAAGAATAAAAACAGGAAACGAGAGAAAATGCTCCAAACAGGTTATGAAGGTCAGTACGGGGTCGGAATGACGGCAACGGGAGCAACGGTGGTCATAAGTCAGTATCTAAACACTAACCGACCGATAATTAAGCAGATTTGGGTGTACAAGGGAGGCAAAGAAGGTAAAGATCCAGCCGATCAACGGAGACCCTGGACCATGGATTTAACAGCCAGCGAATCTCTCGCCCTGAGTTTTCGGCTTTGGACTCTGGAGGGGAACGCAAAGAAGGAATTAGCAACGAAAGCAATCATTTCCAGGCGGAGAAAGGCCCAGACGATCGACCATGGGACTGGCCACTCTGGGTCCTTTGGAGAAAAAAATGGAGATCGAGCTTCATCGTCATCAAATGAGATTACGTCTCCTTGTCAGGGCAGCGCCTGCCTCATGGAGCCTTGATCCAGCAACAGTTTTTTTCACAGGGGTTGATCGGCTGTGGATCCCAAATAGGAGAATTTCGTTGGCTTGGGACTTGTGGTCAGTGGCGTTGAAGCCCTCCATACTTACAGCGCTTGTGATATCGATCCTACTGCGCAATTGGCAATGCTGTTCCATCCCCGATCATGCAACTTTGACCGGATATCGAGGCAAAACATCTGTTAGGGGGGTTGCAGTTGCAATTGGCATTGAGACACCACCGTTCAATCCCATCCACGCAAAAGGAAGTGTCGCAAACGGAGACGCGCGGGAAACATGCCTTTGGAGACGATCCCCTGGGAAAAGGTATGCGGCGGGTGGGGGGCCCACGGGATGATGACGACGGCTGCAGGCCAATCGCTTGGCATCATTTCCTTTTCATCCGTTTTGGTTCATTCATACTATACCGATGGGTCTTTTGACTTTTTCTTTTCCCTTTTTTTTTTTTTTTATTGTTTTTCCTTTTTTACCTTTCCTTCCTTGTCAATACCTTGCATATATCTCACGCCATGGGAACATGGATGTCTATGCATAGCTTTTAAAAATAGATCATCAATATCTGATATGCTTCATTTATCCTCAATCTTGGTCTTGGAAGGCGGACTCTCCATCAAAAGACATCAACATCACCTGATTTTGGAAATTTTTAAGATACTCTTGGCATACATCTCATACCAAACAGGAACCGATAACGTGACGTTGTATACGTAAAAGATTGTGCAGGAGAGACTTGGGGAGTGGGAATTTGGAATATATCCAACTCAGCTTCAATAACTATAACCACTTCAAGCAACCTACATTGCAAGAGGGCTTATAGACATACCACGAAATAGACTAATATCTCACCCAACTCCAGGGGAGAAGATATTTAGACCTAGACCCTGTACTAGGGTCTAGCATGTTCTAGCCGTGCCTCAAATTTGATAGCAGCAAGGTGCCATGAAAAGCCACCGAAACCTTGCAGGGTGTGTGTGACACATTATGATTGACTTTCTCACTAAAAGGGGAAAGAACCTATACATAGTGTACACTATCGAGCCATGGGCTTGGTCACTTGAGGAAACAGATGGTCTGTGGTCGCTTCGAATGGGCTCGTAGAAACAGCGATCGGAAGAAGCAGTGATAATACGGAGTACTGCAGAGAGTATTATAATATAGTTCAGAATAATCCATACTTACTTAGATAACCCTTTCAGCCAGATATGGAATACATATGGATGGATTATATATACCTGAAAAATCTGGCCGTCCATTCAAGAGGTAATGTCCAAGCAGGACTACGGCGAGCCAAACAATCTCCGAGTGCAGAATTCCCCAATGGAGTAATATCTCACTTCCGCACAGATAGTCCACATCGGAGTATCTGGAGATCAAGCACAGTCAACCCGCTCCCCAATCAAAGTCCAATCAAGCATATGGGACTGTCTCGTCAAGTAAAACCATAACCTCCAATCGAATTCGTGCCCTCATTGGGCTAAACGGTCCATATTGCCGACTGACTGCTGTCTAATACGCACGTCTCACTATGGCTACCCAATCGCTGAGTTCGCTATTACAGCGGACGTCGATCGACGATCACGAGGAAGTCCTTCGCTCATCCAACGCAGCTTTAGCTAAATCGAAATCGGATATTCAGGCGCAGCATGTGAAGGTGGTGGCATTGCTAAAGCTCGACCGCTACGAGGACTCTCTGCGTGTCTTTGAAGAGGGAGGTGATGCTCTGAAGAAGAGGGCCGCTTTAGAATACGCTTACGCTCTGTACAAAACTGCGAATCTAGACGAGGCCATTGAGGTGGCTTCACAAGTTGCAAATGATAGAGGTGCCCGTCATTTGGAGGCTCAAGCTGTATGTCGTCTCTATTTGTCTTCCGACCGCAAGTCCCCGCACAAGGTCACTGCTAACCACCTGGTCTTGTAGACTTATCGCGCCGAGAAATTCCGCCGTGCAGCTGATCTCTACGAAGAACTGACTAAAGACGAGATTGCCCTTGCGAACGAAGAAAACGACTTGCGGATCAATGCGTGGGCTGTGGATGCCCAGTTACAATGGAAAGGATACCCGAACTATGTCCGCCATAACAGGCCCACGAGAGATGATCTGGAGGCGTTCGAGACCGTCTATAACGCTGCCTGTCTGAGTATCGCCAAGGGTGAATTTGGTCAGGGAGAAATGTTGCTCAAGCGGGCGAAAGGTTTGTACCAGCCGAGTCACCATAAAGGCGGTCGCTGATCATCATTGCGCAGAGCTATGTCGGACATCGGAGGACCTCACACCCGAAGATAAAGCCGCTGAGCTGCTCCCGATTGCTGTGCAACAGCTATATGTATTGATCCGCCAGGGAAAATCGGAAGAGGCAGAGTCGGTGCTTGAGGAGATTTCCGTCAATAAGTATGCGTCCTTCCCCGAGTCAACTACTACCATTGAAGCTCACTGTTGCACAGTATCTCTGAACTCTCCACTAAGAGAGTCGCCCTGAACAACATCACACTTGTCCGCGACACCACGACCAACCCCTACGCTCTCTACAAAGCCTTACATGCAACCCCCGTCTCGACCGACAACGATAGGCTGTTTGATTACCAGGATAATATAGTGACCGGCAATGTCCACTCGGCAGACCTTCTCGTCCAGAAGTACGACGGTATCATCCGGTCCACATCGAAGGCGCTCTCCCAAGCACCATATCCATCCGCTAAATCAAACGTAAACCTCCTGTCGGTCTACAATGCTGCTGCTCATGCACGTGGTCAAGCTGGAACGCCAGCCCTGAAGGCGATACTACCCGCACTTGAAAGGCGGCCGAAAGACATCGGATTAGCACTCACAGCCGTGCAGCTCTACGTGACCGAAGGCAACACTACTTCCGCAATCACCACCCTAGAGAAATCCCTCCAGCTACTCGAAGATTCCATCTCCGAACAGGATAAGGAGGTCCGCTTCAACCCAGGCTTATTAGGCATTCTCGTTTCGCTCTATAAGCTCGAAGGCCGGAGAGTCCAGATCAGGTCGGAACTCGCTAAAGCCGCCGCCTATTGGCAGGAACATGTCGAGGCGCCCTCTTCGCTTCTTCGCGCGGCCGCAGAGTCTTTGCTGCACTCGTCGGACCGCGCAGATCTTACAACCGCTGGTGACTTATTCAAGTCGCTTTACCAGAAGGACAGGAACGATCTTTTCGCCATCGCCGGTTACGTTGCTTCTCAGGCAACACTGGACTATGCCAAGATCGAGTCCCAGGTTGACACTCTCCCTCCAATTGACGATCTGATCCAGGATGTTGACGTGAACGCACTTGAATTAGCCGGTATATCCCCTCCTTCCTCCGCAGCAGCGGCAGCCGCGGCAGCCATCGCCGGGGCAAGGAAGAGAGCATCTGGCGATAAACAAGGTCGTGCAACTAAGCGAGTGCGAAAGTCACGTCTTCCCAAGGATTATGATGCTAGCAAGACGCCGGATCCGGAACGCTGGTTGCCCCTCCGCGACCGTTCGAGTTACCGGCCCAAGGGCCGGAAAGGCAAGCAGCGGGCCGCCGAACGGACGCAGGGAGGTATTGTCAATGAAAAGGCAGAGGAGTCACCTGCGCCCGTAGCTCAGCAGCAGAAGTCTCAAAGCGGCGGAGGTGCTAACAAGAAAAAGAAGAAGGGAAAGCGATGAATCCATATGTGAACGGTTGTGTATAATGAACAGGCCCTGTCTTGCACATTATATGGAAGTGGCAACAGGTCTCGTTTAAAACTAGAGTTGATCTCACTTATCAATTTAGCAAACACCACTATATCCAAACAATGTGCTTGTATACCTCGATAACTCCCACCCTTCACGCTAATAATTATGTCAACCACATGTTGGGAAGACATGCACAATAACAAGAATAAACTAGCCACCTGGCAAATCCAGTAGCAGATATGTTCGACTAGACAAAGGCACGTCGCCAATTTAGCCAAGGGGAGTTCTAATGGTCCCGCACTGTCGATCATACTGCTCAAAAATCGTTTGAAATAATTTGAGATCCTGGAGAGAGTCTTTTGCTGTTGTCTGGGCAGGCTTTCCGTCAACCAAGTACGCATGCAACGCCTTAAGCTCGGCGTTAAACGCATCCTCCCAGCTACTAACACTCTCCGTTCTTTTCAGATTACCCTTGCCATCCGCTGTTTCCACAACCACCCGTGATGGCTTGCCCTGGGCGTATGGTAAATCATAGTGCATGCTGACGGTCTTGGTATTACCATAGAGAGCTAGATGTGCGTCACATCGAGGAACGGAATCAGTTCCTGTTTCATATATCAAAGTAAACGGATGGTGACCCCGACTAACGCTACCATTGTAATGGAAAACAGCCGAGTAGAATGGTTCATTCACTGTAATGTTGGAAATAGCATCGGGATACCCCAGCGTATCGCGCATCAGTCCCAAGTCATGACATCCCAAGGATGCCAAAAATCGGCTCAAGGAGAGACGCTCCTCAGTCAAATCCTCGCCAAGAAAGATCTCCTGGAGAAGGCAATGGAGCAGCCGCTCGCCATGCTGGTCATTAAGGGACAGCCCGTTTGGTATACTGCCGTTTATTTTCAGGTGTTTGTTCTTCGGCGCAGTAGCTGTGTGCGCCAAGTGTGGCCCTGCGATATTCCGGCATCGAGCATAATATATCCGATCCAGGCTGGCAGCTTCTTTCTTGAAGACCTCGAAACAAGGTGCATACCGACGTGCAGAGGCCACGAAAACTTTCGCTTGGTTCGGCGCCCGTTTCTCAGTCTCGATTATACGTTTTGCGCTTGGAATGCTCAGGCTAACAGGTGTTTCCACCATAACGTGCTTGCCAGCTTCCAAGGCCGCAACAGTGTACGTTTCGTGGTATTCGTTCGGCATGAAGTTCAAGACAAGGTCGACTGAAGGGTCATTCAGAACCTTTTCCGGGCTAGAGGCAACCTTAGGCAAGTCATTGGCAGTGCTGTCTTTCGGATCCAGACTGGAGTTGTAGATAGCCGCGACGCGATAGGAGTCATGAAGGGTTCGGAGAACCGGGAGATAGAGGTTTTGGATGGCTTGGCCCCCATCTGTGAGGATTCCGACCCGTAAGATTGTTTGTGTCATTCCGGTTCTGTCAAGTGAAATTATGCTGCGTCAGAGTCAGAACAAAGAAGCAAAGCCCAGGTTAGAGAGTGAGAACACGCGGTACAATACTTACCACGTGAATAATTATCGATTGAACGTGCCCGGCAAGTGTTTAAAAAGACCAGAAAGCCCCGGGGGAAAGAACCGCGGTTGCTCATTTCTTTAATAAGATAGGTTCACAAAGGGCGTTCGCCAAGTATGTCTGGTGCAAGGGATCTTGGTAGTGTTGAGACAAAAGAATGGGGACGCGAGCGAAAGTGCAAAGAAAAACTGAGCAAACATCTGCATCGTGCTTTCCTTCCTCCTTATCAATGCAGAGCTCACCGTCTCCGGTTCTACCGATACATAATTCTTCTTCGAGGAGTGACATCAGTGGCTACAAAACTGGTTTGGAAATGGCGACGGGAGGTTCCAACCTTAGGGCAATTTGGTCGTTTCTATTGGTTTGCCGGTACTGTTCATCTGACGCAGTCCATGATTCCTGTTCATGTCCAGTTCTTGCGAGTATTCAGATAGGCATATCATGAGATAGATCTATGGTAATGGTTCTTGTGAAGAGTCAGGTCACAGCCCATGTATACTGGATACGAGGTGACTGATAGTTTCAACCAATGGAATGATTCGTGCGAATTGTAGGCAAATCTAAAGGGATAGCAAGGCCGGTGCACGGCAAGGTTACACATGAAGGCAGGTATGTGACATGTTGATCCTGAGGTTATGGCCCAGATGATTTGACCAGTGATCCACTGCCTTACGTTCCAGGCCATGGACAGGGTTGACTGATTGGGTATAGCCCCCCTGATCACTTGACCTGAAGGAGGGTGACTGATCAACCACAATGGCTGTGATGTCACGATTGTGAAAAGAAAAAGACTTATGGACAGAAATCAAGGGAAAGTTATATCAAGCCATCGCTTGACCCTTTGAAATGTCGTCTTGACCGGATAGGTTCCCATTAAGCCAGGGCTGAGACCAGCTCAGCCTTATGGATGGATCCGTAATCCTCTTCGACGACGTATTCATATGTGGGGATCATAAAATCTATTCAATGTGTAATTAATTGTATTTGGGATGAAGAACGAAGGGCATTGCATGGATCCTTGGAAACTATGCCTGAAGCTGGTTGTGGTACGGACCATGGAAACAGCGATGTATATTTTAGACTCTATGTATGTACTGCCATGCCATATATGTATGTATCCTACAAAAACAACCCATGTATCAATGTCTTTATCCCACTTATAAATATAGATGGCGAATATAACTGATCCTCCAAAAGGGCCTTACCCTTAGTATTAACTACAACGTAATTTCACATCGTCTGAGCCTTGCTCGCTGCATTACTCGGAAGGTCTGAGTAGATGCTCGTATTTTCATGTATTCTCAACCTCAGCTGAAAAAAATGAAAGAAAAAGCGGGTCTCATGACGACGAACCCAATCGTCATCACGGGTCCCCTCATCTATTTACTTCTCTCTCAATTTACGCGATCTGTTAATTTGACCTGTTTCCAAGACATACTCCTCCCCTCTTGTACTGTGTTTGACATCAGTTTGAATTCTCCGACGGTCACAAGTCAAAGGATTCAATAACATCCACCATGGGTGTAAGTTTCACTGTCCTTCAAATTCTTATGCCCCGCGTTCTTGCCCCGCCCTCACTCAAGCTTCTCCCTGGAATGAGATAAGACTTGAAAACGACATTCTTCAACCCAATAGAAGAACATCCCAGCACTAATCTCTGCATGTTGTATGCGCCTAGTTTGCTTCCAAGATTGCCGGCAGTCAAAACCCGCAGAACATGGGTGGTAACAACTCGGGGCCATATGGAGGAGCGCCTTCCACAGGCTACACGGGCGGTCCTCCTGCAGCGCTGCAACCTGGTGGTGGTGCTGCTCCTAGTGGATACAATGTGAGTGTGCCCACTAATAATAGCTAAAAGTAGCGGCCAAGCTACACTATTATAATTTTTTTTTACCTTTTCCCAATTTACTGCTGCCCTATACCCATACCTTAAACCTAGCAATGCCCCTCATTACCACTGGCAATCTCCCTTTTACCACATTTTCTTGAGTCACTGCTGATGATCGTTGCTCTCTCGAGCAACAATATCAGGCTTACCCAGGTTCTCCTGCTCCCTCCGGCAACTCGGTAAGCTAATTTTGTTTGCTTCTCGTTTGCTTTTCTTTTCAATTTCTGCCTTACCTGCTCGTGTCGCCACCCCTCCACAATCTATCCGTCTATCAAGTGAAGGGGAACTTGGGACGTTCTGTCTACATCATTCACTACTTTCTCCCTCTTCTCAACTCATATCGCCTGTCCACAACTTGGACCTCACGTCTTCGCTTCTTTCTACTCTCTTCACCTGGACGCTTCCGTGTAACAATGTCGCGACCTTATTATAACCAACAAGGATATCCTCCACAGCTACGTACTGGGTCGACATCGCCCTATCCAACTTCGTCGGCGCCGCCCCAACAGTACCAAGCGTATGCCCCAGCAGTACCTCCAAACAAGCCAGCACCCTCGCCGTCTCCCGTGTCTCCAACTTATTCGGGCTACCCTCATCCGTCTCAATCCCCTGCACCTCAGAGTTACTCCCCAGCGCCATATGGTTCTATTCCACCACCGCCACAGGGATATCCTCAGGCCCCTCCTTATGGATCAGACTCCTATGGGCCTCCTCAAGGTTATGGACAACCTCCTCAAGGCTATGGACAACCTGGCTACGGGCAGCCCCCTCAAGGCTACGGAAGGCCTCCTCCGCCATCCCCACATGGCTCGTCAACTAGATCCGCGCCTGGACCAGAATATCCTTCACAACCATCTTCTCATGTACATAGTCATCCCACTTGTCTCCCTTTGTCACATCCCCGTTATGGTGTCTGTTTCATTTTGAAAACTGTCATCACTGATTCCAAGTTATTGGCCAAGAGACTGAACTAACTTGGTGAGCTACTAGGGACCAGGATATCCTCCGCAGAATGCACCTTATCCCGGTGGTCCCGCGCGTCCTCCACAGCAGGGAACCCCTGGACCATCGGGACCTCAAGGTGCTCCCTATGGCCCTCTAGGAGGCGCGCCTCCCGCTCCTCGAGCTACCGAGCAGCAAGTAGCCGCCTATCGCCAGCTTCTAATTGGGACTATCCAAGAGAAGAATCTCCAAGCCTTCTACCCCCCGGAGAAGTTGAATTTACTTATCCAAAGCCTCGCCAACGATGCACCGGCTAAGATCAACAAGATCGTCCAGGAATGGCGAGTGCCGACAGAGGTGGCCACGGACATTATAAAATTGTCCCTCTTCGATATCATTCTTTACGTAGATGACAGTGGATCTATCGAGTTTGAGGAAAGAGGCGTGAGAAAAGAACAACTGAGGCAGATCATTGGCATCGTTGCGACCGCTGCATCTACCTTCGATGAGGACGGCATCTCGGTGCGGTTTATGAATTCTATGGAAAGAGGCGACGGCATCCGGAATGCGGATGATGTCAACATGCTGGTCTCACGTGTCCGTTTTCAAGGCCTAACGCCACTGGGGACAGGTCTGAAGAATAAGGTTCTGGATCCTCAGGTCGTGGGACCCGCCCGGGCAGGCCGCTTACAGAAGCCGGCACTAATCATTACCATTACGGACGGACAGCCTGCTGGTGAACCTCTTGATTGCGTGGCTAATTCGATTCGCTATGCTGTTGACGAGGTGTCACGAACTCCATTTGGACGAGGTGCTGTTTCTTTCCAGTTCTCGCAGGTGGGCAATGATGCCAAGGCACGTGATTTCCTATCCAGTTTGGATGAGGACCCGAGCATTGGAAATTTGATTGACTGCACTTCAAGTAGGTTGCTCATACATCTTATGTCAAGTTAATGGAGCGGTGCGCTAATATATCTGGCAGATTTCGAGGTTGAGCAAGATGAGATGTCTCGTGCCATCCCCCCTGTGTATTTGACTCGAGAGCTTTGGGTAGGTAGATACTGCGCCAGCAAAAGCAAATAAACACTGCTGACTAATAACTCTTAGTGCGCTAAATTGATGCTTGGTGCTATTGATTCCTCATATGATACCAAGGACGAGAAGGCTGCCGGTCGTGCTGGCGGGCCTGGAGGGCCTGGAGGGCCTGGCGGATTCGGGGGACCTCAAGGACCTGGTGGACCTGGCGGATTCGGGGGGCCTCAAGGACCTGGCGGGCCCGGCGGACCTGGCGGATTCGGGGGACCTCAAGGACCTGGTGGACCGGGCGGACCTCCTCCAGGACCTCAAGGGCCTCCTCCGCCAGGTCAGTACGGTGGCTATAACGCGGGGCCTGGATACGGCCAGCGAGGAAACCCTAACCAACCCCCACCACCTAGTCCATATGGCCCAGGACCGGGATATGGTCAAGCACCATATCCTCCTAGTCAGGGCCAGGGCCCACCACCTGGCTATGGACAGCCACAGCCGTATGGTGGATACGGATCCCCCCCTCCTTCTGCTGGATATGGACAACCACCCGCTGGTGCCACGAGAGGCTATCCTCCACCACAGAGTCCTTACGGATACGCTCCCCCTCCGCCCCCGCGGTACTAGATGAACTGGTATGAAGCAGGACGGGAAGGAGCTTTTCTCTGAAAGGCAGGACGTTTGGTTGTATCCATTATGATTACGATTTCCTTACGTGTTCACTTCTCCGGCGTTTAGCCCAAATTGACTAAAAGCTACTGGTGCGGCGGAATTGGTCAATGGTTAAGGATAGAACATATGTCGATATTATCTTTACTACGCGCAACGTCTGTATTTCGAATGGAAGCTGCATCAGCATGAAATCCAGGTATAACGTGATGCCACAGATTATCGCCATGGATATTGTCGTAAAACCTCTAGTATGTCGTAAATATCTACAGCTGTTTAATGTTTTGCCGGGGTCGGAAGTTGTTCCCGCCCGTTGAATGACGTCGATGGAGATGTAGAGTCAGCAACTAACTAGGCTGATTCAGTCCACTTGGCACTATACTATAAGATGGTTCATTGATCCATGAGGCCACGTGACCAAATGTTGCCCCATTGAGCAGAATTCATGGAGGTAGCTTGGTAGTGGTGGTGTGGTCAATGAGTCAATAGCTATCATTTTGCCATTCTTCCTGTTTCTTTCTCTTCCCCTTTCCTTTTCTTTTTCTTTTCTTTTCTTTTCTTTTTTCTTTTTTCTTTTTACCTGTTGAGGTTCAAAATATATTGGCCTCGTTTATAAAGCTCAGATAAGAAGGGATCACGACATAAGGACGGCCTCACTCGTTGAAAGTGTCAGCCTAATGCGGTTCCCCAGAGAAGAATCCATGTTCGACTCTGCGCGCCCTGATGACAAGGTTCAGTCACTTCAGGTTGGCCCCGCCTCTGGACTTAATTTATTTCTCATTTCTTGGAATCCTTGCCACCACCCACTACTTACCCACAAGGCTGCGTAAAATGCACGCCCGTGGATGGTCAGTCTGCCACACACTGTGGGTTTGACAACCATAGGATTCAACTTCCGGGGTTTTTGACCCCGGGATCCTGAGTGAAGAATCCATCGGATATCTGGAATGGTTGGAAGACATGCCGCCACTGAACCCTGGGTTGGGTGACAGGCTCAACCAACTGTTCTCTGGAGGCTGTGCATTGTACCAGATAAAAGTTTTGAGAGAGATTTTTCCTTTTCTCCTTTTAGGCTAAGTATGTACAATAAAAGAGAGTATGATAAAGATTCAGTGCTCTTTGTTCTCTCATGTGGTAGGGGTTTCATAGTAATGGCTGCAAGCTTTTTCACCAAAGCACAGTAAGCAAGTATGCATGCAAGTAAGAAAGATGCCTGGTGACAAGCGTTACCTGTCTTTAAGCTACGGATTGCGAAAAGGACAAGAAGAAAACAACGTTGCAAGCATGCCACCTTGACGTAGCACATGGGCATGGGAGAAATTCTTATTTGATTGACGGGAGAATTGTAACCCAACTGGTAGTATAAGTGGGCGACAATTGCCAATGAGGCCATCCATCATCGTATTGAGTTCCCTGATTGCGTTGACTTGCGTGGCCTCCTCCAAGCCACCGCTCTGATCAACCAAGCCCTTGACTGGTCGGCGGGTAATTTAAGGTCATTCTGTACAGTTTTCTCCACATGCGCCCGTCGAAAAATTATCGAAGGTCAGTCTTGGTACTCCGTATCATCGCTAAGTTAACTAGTGGGAGGGTCCCCTTGACCACTGCAGGGACTAAATTACGAGGGGTGGAAGGATTTTCTACGACTCATTTTATTAAACTTTGCTTTCTTATATTGTTGGCAGGAAGTCACCTTAAGCGTGGCTCTTCTTTGGTGTGCTTTCGTCTTTGATTGCGGCCGTGAGACATACATACATACATACATATCGCAGAGGCAAAGTTTAAACAGAGACAAAAAAATAAAAAAAGGAGAATCAAGGCTAGCTTTTTGCTTTCCCCCCAAAAGTGGCGGTTGTTCTACTATTTTCGGGCATCTTACCGCTTTCGGGAACGGTCTTTTGGGTCTCCCAAAACTCAACCATTGCAACTAGTTTGCAAAAGGCCTCGACCCAGTCGCCGCCTGCGGACGACAGTAGGCGTCGACGTTGGCTTCGTTCGTTCGCGGTGGTGTGCTTTGCCCATCTCTCCACGGTCTTTTCTCCTTCTGTTTCGTTTGTTGGTACCTTGTTAGATCTGGGATCTTCTTCTCTTTCCTAGTTTATTGTTTGATTGTTGACCTTAGGGTCTTCCCCACAGTCGTTTTTTCCTCGAACGTGCGGTTGTCGTGTCATCTATTGCTAGAACGGGACTGTCGCTATCGCATCGATATACCATCTAATTATATTCTATCTTTTCGTACAAGTTAGAGCTTGAGCTTGTCGTTGATCGGAGCATCGAAGCATCGCTTACCGTCGATTGTAGACGCTGTGCTAGATTCTTTGCCCCCCACCCGCTCGATTGAAGAATGCACCAGATTTATTCGTTTACTCTCCGCCGATACACCGTTCGATTGGAATTACTTGCTCTTGTACTGTGAATTCAACCCTGTGATACTTCAGAAAGTATTGTACAAGGTCAGCAGAGTCATTGGACGAACCGCACCGTTGCACAATTCAGCCGGAAGGCTATTGAAGGAGAACCATTCTCGCTATGCCCAACCAGGATGCGAGGGCCGAAGCGAACCGGGACGCGCAAGGAGCGACGTCTGATGAAGGTCATATAGTGGTGGAAGAAGTATCCGGACAGGACTCTAGCTTGGGCTCAGCGCTTCCGAGGAGCCATTCCATTAGTGTTCCGTCGCGGCATAGTATCAGTCAAGAACGGCCGTCCATTGCCCCTTCACGAACACTATCAGACTCCGGGCGGAGGAATTCCCACCAGCCCCGCGTTCGCTTCTCGGCCGATCTCGAGCGCCCCCTCGCAGAAGAGTCTAGGAATTCCAATCATAATAGGAGGCCAAGCGCCAGAGGCTTGACTATCGACACTAGCATTACCCGAGACGATCGTTTGTCAGTCAGATCTCCAGAACATAGACCGATTTCCCCTTTTTCCCCACGCTCGGCACTGTCACCTCCATCACCGCAAAGCCCAGACTCGGGTCGCTCACGATCGCGCAACCGCGGTTATTCGCTTCGACGGACTATTTTCGCGAAGAATATTGTCTCAGCGACTTCCCCTGGCGCTGTCTCACCCAATGACATTGAATTGGCCCAGCCTGTGAGTCCGCAACAGGAGACTTCTACAGAAAATGAACGGAGTTCACGGAAATCGAGCGACGGCGCAGGTCAAGGTGCTCCTACAGGGGGTGGTCAATATGAGCGCAAGTCGACCGAGGATGAAAAACAGGCGGTAATCGTAACTCAGACTTCGGCATCTGAACATAGTCCTGTCCATATTGATGATACTTCGACGGCATATTTTCCCTCTGACCCATCGGAAGATCTCAAGGGAGGCAGGCACATGTCCCCCAGTATCGCATACGAGAAATGGCTAAAGAGACGGCCTGCCATTGCTGGAATTAAGGCTCGGTATGAGGAATTCATGGAGTCTGCTCGCAAAACTATCCTTCGGATTAAAGACATCCCCCCAAGCAAGGATGGCCGTCATATCGTTCTTGACCCTACTAGGACAGAGGATTTGATCGATGAGAGGACCGGAAAGCCCTACTGTGGAAATTGGATCCGATCAAGTCGTTACAGCCTCTGGAGTTTCTTTCCCCGACAATTTTTCGCTCAATTCACCAAGCTAGCAAACTTCTACTTCCTTGTGGTGGCTATTTTGCAGATGATTCCTGGCTTGAGTACGACGGGCTCCTTCACTACTTTGGTCCCACTGTTGATCTTCGTTGGAATCTCTATGGGGAAGGAAGGCTTTGACGACTGGCGTCGCTATCGCTTGGACAAAGAAGAAAACAACCGCTATGCGTCCGTTTTGCGCCCAGGTGCAGGGATAATGTCCCAAACCTCGTCTAGTGACAGCGTCTCAGTTGCCAGTGACGCCGAGGATTGGACTATGGTGAAGTGGAAAGACATCAAGGTTGGGGATGTTGTCAAGTTGGAGCGTGATCAGCCTGTGCCAGCGGATATGGTCTTGCTCCATGCAGACGGGCCCAACGATATCGCTTATATTGAAACAATGGCTTTGGATGGTGAGACGAACCTCAAAAACAAGCAGCCTTGTCAACCAGTCGCCAAGGTGTGTGCAACAGTCGATGGCATTTGCACCAATGCCATGCACTTCGCTGTCGAGGATCCTAATCTGGATCTCTATAAATTTGATGGCAATGTTACAGTTTCCGCTGGCGAAAAGATGCCCCTGACGAATAACGAGGTTATCTACCGTGGTAGCATTATGCGTAATACTGAGAAGGCGGTCGGTATGGTTATCTACACTGGCGAGGAGTGTAAAATCCGAATGAACGCGAACAAGAATCCTCGAATCAAGTCACCAGCGCTTCAAGCCCGTGTCAACCGGGTTGTCATGCTGATTGTATTATTGGTAGTCGTGCTGGCGGTCGCCTGCACCGTGGCATACATTTACTGGTCAGATGATGTTGAGCAAAACTCTTGGTACCTTGACAAGGCAAACGTGTCCTATGGTCCAATCTTCACCTCGTTCCTGATCATGTTCAACACCATGATTCCTATCTCACTCTACGTGAGTATGGAGATTGTCAAGGTTGCGCAGATGCTGATGCTGAACGCTGATATCGACATGTATGACCCGGAGAGCGACACGCCAATCGAGGCACGGACATCCACCATCAACGAAGAACTGGGGCAAGTCAGCTATATATTTTCCGACAAAACTGGCACCTTGACGAACAACTCGATGCGCTTCCGCAAGATGAGTGTCGCGGGTACTGCATGGTATCACGACTTTGACCTGCGCGAAGAGGAGGCGAGAGAAGGAGGCCGAGAAAAGCTTATCCACAAAAAGCGGAGTTTTAAAGGCAAGAAGTCTATGGCTCGTAAGTCGAATGTGTCAGAGGCTAGATCATATCTCGCCAGACCTAGCTCGACGTCAGTTGCCGACAAGACACGGAAGCCCGGTCGACCGGCGCTTGACTATCGTACAGC